TGACATGATGACTTACTGCCAATGAAAGAACTGTAGCATGCTTCTTGGGTTGTTTGTGCCTCCCCCTCCCCCCAATAAACTGATCCTCAGTGTTGGACTGACACAACTGTGCAAAGCAATAGTGTCAAAAAAGGCAGGGAAATACAAGAAGCCTATATGAAGACAGAAATCAGGTACTTTGGTACTCATTGTTACTGAGAGCTTTAATTACTTATAACAAATCATCGCAAAGCACCATTGGCAGCTAAATATCTCAGTAGCAACATGATTTAGGCTGGATTCACACATCTGTTATTATCATACATTGCATTTTTGCAGCTCATTCATTATAACTGGGCTGCCCATGCATGGAAGTAAACAGAAAAATGCACATAAGCCTTTTTATAATGCAGTGCAACAGAACACATGGCTTGTGCTATTTGTTGTGCACTGCAGCTTAGATCCATTGCAAGAATGTGTGGTAAAAAGCAGGATGCATAAATCTGAATGGGTCCTTAATCACATTCATTGTCCTTGACTTGTAGTGGCGGTGTTTGAAGGAAATATGGGGGCTTCCATTGCTGAACTCCTAAATATGCTACTTGACTGGCTGTCCCCCAACCACCCCATCTTTAAAACTTTGAACCCTCACCTGAAATGCATATGCAGATCAGAAAAGTTGGAAGTCTTTATCTGCTTATTTAATGTTGGTCAGTGAGTCAAAATATTGAAGCAAGAAGGTTAGCATGACAGGCAAGCATCTAGCACAGCAATGGCAGCTTCCATGTTCCTTTATAAACATTGTTTTTATGGTTAATGAATGCGTAACAAGATTGGTGGCATTTTATATTTGCTTGGAGTTCAGTACTACTGGTTCTTCACTGAAGCCACGAGAGTGACCACATTGCCACCGCTCCAACATGGAAGAGATTCACAGGGAAATTTTCTGAAAAAAAGGTTTTGGAGCAGGTTAGTATGTATTTAAAATGTGTACAATTCATTGAGAAAACATAAAAAGAGTGCAGGAGAAACTGACCATTGGGGGGGGGGGCGGCATTGGAACCTTAGAGATGGGCACCCTTACCATGGAAGTAATAATAGTACATGCTATATGTAAGTAGATTGATGACTTGTAGAATATACTAATTATCCCAGAGAGAGCTTTGTTATCAGTGTAGAGGGAATACATTACCCTGGATATGTACCATGTGCGAATATGGAGGTGGGAGTAGAGCTATAACTACATCTGCTTACACACACCTTGTACTACCAAATGGATGACATGCACAGTTAATCCAGCACAGAAAGCCTCACCGTCATGTGGCCTTTCTCTGTAGATCTAAGACCACTCGGCCCCACTAATATGTCTTCTGCATCTGTAGAAATGATGCAGAGCTAGTGTATCATATTTCCATTCCCACCATCTGTCAAATGCCAGGAATGGGTTTGTAATGCATCAATATTAGTTGATGTGAAGGGCAATGATCTCAAGCTCTCCTTAGCTATCCTTGCGCTACCTCAAACCAGAAAATAGAGACATGTCCTACAAAGAAATGGCAGTGCAGTGAGAGCATAAGTAAACCACACACCAAATCACCATAAAACATGGGGGTGTATTTATAAAGACTTGGAGAGCCATTTGAGCCAATGAATGTTATATTTTATTTCCAGGCCAAATGAAATTCATTCATAAGATTCAAGTGAATCAGGAAAAGACCACATGGCCACTAGATGAAGCTGTGGAGAATAGGAAACAAGTATTTGTTTTTCCTATGCTCCTCAGCTACAACTAGTGTGCATAATGTATTGTCCTGAGATTACATTCTACGTGGCAAGAAAATATACTGTGATAATATTCATTTGGGCTTCCTTTCCCATAGAACACATATATATGCAGTTTTGCAGGTCAAATGGCTCCGCAAATTTTTTATACATGTACCTCTAGCTGTCAAGTTGTGAGGGTTTCCTTCTAATACATTATTTCCAGGTTGATTACATTGCCAGTCACCCGTGTGAATTTTGTCACTTGATGACATTTTGTAGGCAATACTTGACATCATCCTCAGGAAAATACTAGAATACAAAACTATATATTGACTATAGTTTGTACTTACTAAATCTTCGTCAGACGCTGCAAGTTGCTTTTTGTGCTTCTTCTTCAAGCAGTACACACTGACAAGCGTGACTGCTAACATGACGACAAATATGGCGACAGAAGATGACACGGCAATCACCAATGTGTCTTGGCTGGAAACTTTGGTTTCACATTTATCTCCCACATACCACCAATCTTTAGTAACTTTACACCTAAATGTAGAAAAAGTTTATGGTTACATATATTCAAAGTGCAGGTAACAATGTGGGTCATTTTATCTGTGATGTTTGATTCAAAATTGTAACTAGATTTTAAGTTGTTCCTCCATCCTATTTTTTTATTATTATTATTATAGATAGGGAAGGGTTATGTCCTCTATCAGACTCACATTGCTGTGACTTGTCTCTGTACAAGGAAGAAAATATGACTACTCCAGGAGAGTCAGGTTTTTAGCACAGTGATAACCTTTCCACTTCTGGGAGTGTCTAATTACTCTCTATGCTGGCCCAGCTACTCTACTCTACCCTTCCTTAGCCTCCCTACATAACCTTTTATGTAGCTGCCGGGGGTGAAGAGATAGGGAAAACCATAGAGTGTCACTTGAGTGACAGCTCTGTCTGCTGGGGCTACTGACATCACATCCAAGAGGGTGGCACCCAACAGCAGTCTCAAGACATTTAGATGTGTACACAGTGAAGCTTTAACAGGTGAACACCATGCATATAATATGTTTAATTGGCATATAATCTTATGGGAAGATTTTTGTTGACATGAATGGTGTGGTGACAGTCTCTTTAAATCAGTTAAATACATTCCAGGTGCATCAAAACACATTGCCTGCTGAGTCTAAAGGTGCCCATACACTGCACGATTCTCGTACGAGAATCGCAGGAAATCGTAGATAACCGTGCAGTGTATGGAAGCCGTGTGACCGTTTCTACTGTACTGTACCAGCATGCTAGAAAACCCGCCGGGAATCGTATGATTCTCGGCGAGTTAGTGGCCTGCTGGTTCGACAACTGCCGAACGGGCCGGTGTGCGCACGCGCACACTGCCCAATGCAGTCATTGTAAGCCCGCCCCTCATTACAGTCATCGGGGGAGGGCTTGCGATGATCGCAAGTACGATCTGCCTGTCCAAGATGGGCAGATCGTACGTTTTTTTCAAGTACTTTACAAACCTCGCAAGACAAAAGACTGGAGCTCTCAGAGAAAGTGTGGTCTGCCACATAGTATTGTGCATCTGCGGATGCTGCCAGCTATTAAGTTGTGAATGTAGGTCAATGTCACCTCAGCAAGGGGACCTGTGCTTAGGAATGTTAATTCACAGGCTACGGACACCTGCTATACAGGTCCTGGGTGCCGACATTCAAAACATGGTTGCTTTTAGTTTCAAAAGTCTAACTACACTCAGGGGTCTATTTATAAGCCATTCACCCTGTGAATATATATGAACATTCATGCTGCGTGAATAATGGCAATAACTAATGTTCCTAATATAATTATCCTCAGCTCGTATGTAGTGTAATTTACATTATTGCCACTAGATGGAGCTATATACTTATTTCCTATGCTCCTCAGCTACATCTAATGGTCATAATGTACTATTACAATGCTATATGAAAAATGGGAAAAAATATATTAAGAACATTTCTTTTTGTCATTATTCACCCAACAGATATTCACAGGACACAAAGCCCTGCAAATTGTTTATATATAGACCTCTCAGTTGTTTACATCTGTAAAGGTGCTGGCACGTTAAACAGTCGCTTTCTACTTATATCTGTTAGGGACTCCAGTGGAAAGATATTCACAGCAGAATTCCCTTCATCACAAATGTCAAAGTCCATACAAAACCAGATGAGAGTACCATGCTTCCCTGACAGAGTCTCCATATAGTGAGAATGATACCATTAATATAATCTTGTGGTAGTAGTAGAGACAAGACTACCTGGGCAATTCAAATTGTATGCAACCCATTGTTTATCTCAGTTTTACCTGCAGACTGGATTATTATTCTCAGTGATACAGACACCATCATTTTCACATTTATAATTTGCACATGCAGTATCTCCTGGTCTTGATGTTGTTGTAGATGCAGATGGTCTTGTGGTGGTGGTGGTGATGGTGTTGGTTGTTGCTCCCGATCCCGGTGTTGTTGATCTAGTAGTAGTGGTAGTAGTAGTAGTAGTAGTAGGAGTAGTAGTAGTAGTAGTAGTAGTAGTAGTAGTAGGAGTAGTAGGAGGCACTGGCTGAGTTGTATTTAGATATGTTACATCTGGTAAAAAAAAAAAAATGTATAGGTTATGTAAACCGTAACAACAAACACCTAGTTTTTGGTCCCATTCTGTCTGTTAAATGTACCATTTACGGCATATTGTTTATTTCTGTTTAATAAATTGAGCTGACAATTTCCTGTGTTCTGCCTTTACTTACTGCTATCAATTACACACAATTACGCATTCCCCGCCCCACAGCTATACGTCACAATGGGGTGGAAAACTCCTCCACTGCAACAGCTGACACTGATTTGGTCAGGAGGAGTTGTGAACAGGCTTGGGCGAACTCAGATGAACTGGGTTCACACCAAGCCTAGCCTCATCTGTAGATCTGAGCTATCTTTATTATTTTACTCCTGGGAGTTCCCATTTAAATAGAAGAAGAGATTGAAGACAAAGAGTCCTCAATCTCTTATTCAGCAGCCCCTGTTATGAATGAACAGGAAGCCTGTACAATAAGTGTTCCTGTCCATTTATAAACTGTGGCGATAGTATGAGTTACTATATCCACAATCATGAATGAAAAGTAAGTGATGTAGAGCACTTCCTATTCATTCATAATTGGGGACACAGTAAGTGTACTAAGCCCACAGTTATGTACAAACACTCAGCGATCAGCTGTCGCAGGAGGCTGAGCAGGGGGAGTGCCGGAGAAGAGCTCAACTTTCCTCCCCCACACCACTCTGCATCATGACAGCTTACAGCTGACTCCTCCCCCACACCACTTCCCATCCCGACTCTTTGACTTTCGGCATTTTACCCAAAGTACCATTTTCGGACTAAATGTTTTGGCAGCCAAAATTTAGTGCATGCCTACTTGGGGCCAAAGCGCATGCATCTACAATCAGAAACAGATTGCACCAATTCAACCTAAATGAGAACTGTGTTAAGAAAAAGCCTTTGCTGTCTAAAAAGAATATAGAACAAGATTACAGTTTGCCATTAAACATTTAAGCAAAGGCCAGGCCTTGTGGATCAATGTGCTCAAGAAGACAGACCAATCAAAGAGTTGTTTGGTCGAAGTAAAAACAGTTTTCTGCAAAATGCTAACAGCATTGTGCAAGAAAGACCTCATAACAACTGTAAAGCATGGAGGGAAATGTTATGGTTGGGGGATGCTATGCTGCTTCAGGGCCTTGAGCAGCTTGCAGTCATTGAGTCAACTATAAATTCTGCATCATAACAAAGTATGAGGCCATCAGTCCAAAAGTTGAAGAAGAATCAAATATTAGCCTTTCAACACTTACTGAGTCAAAGAATGGTTTAAAGCAGCAAATCAGTAATAAATCTAAGAGGGGTTCTAAGCCTTTCTGATAAATATTTTACTGTTACTGTTTATATCCCCATTGAAGTTTTGACTGTAGATCCTTTTAAGTAGTTATGCAAATAAAAGTGACAATGACCTTGTTAAAGGATTCTATGGTAAAAGTAAAATGTGATATTTAATTTTTCAATGAACATATTGTACTGCTGGGTTAGCTGTATTGGTTGCTCTGAGTTCTATAATTCACCTACAGCACAATCTACATCTAAATCCAGCACTGATGCTCCTTCATTTATACATAATGCAGCTCACAAAGCAGAAGTACATATTTAGTGCCAATGTACTCGATAGTTGTGGTATATAAGTACCACTACTGATGGGGTACCTGAGGTTCAGGACCAGCTTCAAAAAACATTGCTTGTTGGCTTTGTTTATAAAAAAAGCTGCCATCAACACTCCTGTATAAGTATAAAGAAAGCCTGCAAACATTGTTTTCTAGCTTTTCTTATACAGAAGATGCTGTCAGTTCTCCTGCAATACAGACAAGGATCTAGCGGTCACTTTGTCCTTAGGGTTCCAGTCTCTGTTGCAGGACTGAGGTTTCTATATAAACAAGACCTGCAAACAAACACTGTTTTAGGCTTTGTTTATAAAATGCGTGTCTATAGGATCCCTAGTATAGCCTGAGTATATCTAAAAGGATAGATTATAGTTAGAAAATAGTGTGATTAGTGTAACACCATTATAGGAAACACTAGGTGGCTCTGCAACAGGTGAGTGTCTATAATATTTTGTTGTACGGTACATTGTGGCTGGAGTCACTCGTTATGTTGGATGCTGAATATAAAGTTTAAAACTTTATACTCATTCCTGATGCCAAGAAAACTTGGGTGGGTTTCCTCCGGGTACTCCGGTTTCCTCACGCACTCCAAAGACATGCTGGTAGGTTAATTGGCTCCTGTCTAAAATCGCTTTTTGTTTGCCTGAAGAAGGGACCGCCTGATTCCGAAATGTCGCTTTGCTTATGTGACATCACGATAGTCAGTCAATAAAGGAGATTGACTGTTATTTGCAACGGAGTGCGAGTGATTTTATGAGAGAGAGGACTCTTAAATTGTAACCTCCTTGAGGGCAGGGACTGATGTAAAGCGCTGTGTAAATTGTTGGCGCTATATAAATACCTGTAATGAATAAATACATTTTATATTGAAGGAGCAGACATATTTGTGTTTCTTCAAATTAAATATTAATGCTTTTTTTTCAATATTTGAATAGGTTATGGCAAATTTCCACCATGTAGCTAGTGATGTATTCTGATTATTGTTGATTATATTATGTATATTCTAACTGTACACACAATTGTAGTACTCCAAATAAATGTGTAGTAATTACATGCTTATCTAAGAAAATAAAGATCAATATTGAAGTAACTATAGCAACTTTTTTCTGACTGTTCTAAATGGATGAAAGGCTCTTTTTACCATCATACTTGATGTTTGTATTTCTTTTTAAAAAAACACAGACATTTAATGTTAAACGATGTCACTTACCTTCTACTGTTATTAGAAGAAATGCATCACCCCCTTTTAGGAAATCTCTGCTATGAACCCTGTCATGTGTGATATATGCTGAAGTTCCAAGTCCAGGTCCACGAAAATACTGTGTTCCATTAGGAAAAGAGGCGCTGCTTCCTACTCTCTCAGGTTTATCCCAGAAAATGTTTCCGTCATCTAAAAAAAATAAAACCATAAACTGTTGTTATGATTTAATCATATATATACTGAGTGGCCAGATTATTATGACCACCTGACGTTTGTAGGCAAATTAGCTATAATTAGCTATAATTTTGCGCTGAAGTTGCTAGAGGGCCAGACCATTATATATAGGGAAGCAGGTTGTTTACCATGACAGTAGAAGTGATTTTTTTCTGAAGATATGGGTAGACAACGCGATTTAACAGCCTTTGAACATGGGAGGATTGTTGGCACTCGGAGCCGTGGAGCGAGTATCAGCAAAACAGCAGAATTCGTTAAATGTTCAAGAGCAGCTGTTGTTAAAGTGTTTAAAGACTGGACTGTCAGCCGAAAATCTGGGTCTGAACGTGCGAATTGTGGCCGTCAGTGACTAGTCAATGTTAGGGCAGAGCGGAGAGTGGCAAGACTGGTACAAGACAACAGAAGAGCAACAATTCAGTGTCAGATTCCCCGGATCACCTTTCAACATCTCGTGGAGTCACGAGGCGGCCCAACGAAGTAATCTCGTGGAGTCATCTCGTGGCCCAACGAAGTACTGATGGGGTGGTCATAATAATCTGGCCACTCAGTGTATATATACAGTATATCTTTATATTTAGCCTTCCAAAGTTTAATGGTTTTGGTATGTTTACAAACCTATCACAATAGATACCATTTAAAAACATACTATAACATAATATAACCATACATTGTGAACACAAACTTTCTTTAGAAATTTGACTTACTGGTCAGTCGCTGGGAATCTGTGGTAATACTTCTTAGATTTGACATGCGCTTCCTAATATCTGGGTTTTGATCCATCAGCACCATGGCTGCCTGTCTTAGAGAACATGGCCACTGCAGTTGGTTGTCATTATGTCCAGAAATAAGATGGAAATAAATTCCCAGCTCATGGAACTGCTCAGGAGAGTTAATGGCTGTAAGTTGCACTTGGAAAGCATACCCATCTTTGTTATAATAGGGAGGACTAAATAGACTACGAGTTATATTATTGAGCTGGTTTGTAAAGTTTCGGATATGCCAGATAAAATGTGGGCATTTAGCCTCAGAAAAATTGATGTCATCAATCGAAAAACCTCCATTGGAGTTTCCAGTTCCTTTTACCCCTTCAAAGACAACACGGAACTTTGTGCTTATGTTTAGAGACACATGATACAGCTGCCAATAGTCTGCAGGCTGAGCTGGAAAACATATGTAAACAAAGTCAATTGAATTTTCTAATTTCATTTCAATTATTTTTCTCTAAAACCAAAATTAAGCACAGAAAAGAAAATCATACACAGTGTTAAACATGGCTGACAAAAAGTTGAGTGAATTGAGTCTACTTTTGCGCTAAAGAAATAATGTTTACACTATTTGCAATTAAGAAGTAGGTACAGGCTTGACTGTGTGTTCTTCGTATATATTAATAGGGGTACGCATTTATAATCACCTTAGACTTATCTTGGCGTAAAAATTCATAATTTCCATTTTCCTGTTTACAGTTTAGAAGAATGAATACAGTATGTGCACTGTTCTGAGCCAAATCGACAAATAAGCAAAAGTATCCCAAAATGGAGATCTTTGTTTAAAGAAATAACTTGCACATAACCATTAGACAATTATCCACTGTATTAATAAGTTTTCTAGCAGATTGGACAACCTTTACTCTGCCTATGTTATCTCTGCAGACAATGCCAAGTAAACATTTTCTCTCAATCTACTGCATGGGGATTTCTGATTTGATTGATGCAGCCCCCTGATCTGGTGGCATGGGTGTCTAGATTTCTGATAGACTGATGCAGTGCACGCTGATCCAGTGTCATGGGTGTCTAGATTTCTGATGAGACTGCTATAATCCCTGGATCGAGTGGCATGGGTATCTAGATTTCTGCTATGACTGCTATAGTCCCTGGATCTAGTGACATGGGTGTCTGCCCATTTGACAGACATTCCTGCTTTTACAATATGAGTGCGTGAACGTAGTTATCTGCAAAGAAAATAAGTCTTCAGTTTCCTTCTACCCTTTATAATTGGAAACAGTAAATGGTTAACGGTCAACAAATAGTATCTACAAATTACCCCTGAGGTGTATTAATAGAAGATTTGTCTTTACTCATTTATAGTGATATAATGTATTAAAACTAAATGTTGTAACATGTTGTTACATTAGCACCTATTTATGTCCTCATAACATAATGAAAGTGTGTATGTTAAGTAAGTGATGTCTCACTGTCAACTGTGGTGACAAATTTCAGTGTGCCATTTGGAGCAGCATCTGTGTATTCTCTGATCCAGATGTTCAGGCGGTCACTTTCATGTCCATTGTGGTAGTAGAAGAATTCCAAGCACTGAAATCCTCTTTTAGGGTAAAAAAGACGACTTTCCAACAGTCCTGTATTTCCTGTACTTAGTGTCCTGGTGCTGAAGTGCATGAAATAACCACTGTCTGTTTGGGGAATCAAAAAAATTTTTTTAGAACATTTTAATATATAATTTTAGACAGCAAGTGAAGTTCATCCAGGGTACCGCAAACAATGAAGAGAAGCAATTGGGTATGGATTTTTTTACCCATAGGGAGTAGGGAAGGGTTAGAACCACTTTGATATTTTATTGTTGTCTGTATTTCTGGTAAGTAGAATCAACCTTTCTATTTGTCCTGGTGACCACTATCACTGAGAAAGAAAGTAATGGGAAATCTAGAATGTTAGGGCTGTCGCCTAAACAAGCGAGGGTAAATCTTCCATTAGGGAAACCTGTTCTGGTGACAAAATCTAAGAGAGGTAAATGGCAAAAACAGACTGACGGGTTTTAACCCCTCCCTACTGTAACCAGACTGAAGAAAACATTTTGGCTGTGCATATACTTTAGGTGAATTCCACCAGTGATATTCTTGTTAATATGAATATCATGCAGTCATACTTTTTACTATCTTTCTTATAGCATATAGAAGATAATCATACAGCATAGATAACCATTTGATGCTCAATGTGTATATAAGTGTGTATGTATAAGATCTATCTATCTATCTATCTATCTATCTATCTATCTATCTATCTATCTATCTATCTATCTATCTATCTATCTTGAATCAATTGTCAGCCTGCTATTGGTTTTTTCAAATTGCAATAACTTATAACACCCGCCCATTGCCTGCTGTCATAAGCAGAGGAGCGGACCTGAAAGAGAAAGTTCTCTCTCAGGTCCGCTCCTCTGCTCGGTGGGTCGGTGCAATAGCCAGACTGCTATTGGCTATTGAAATTGTTAAATAGCCAATATCATGCTTGCTATTTCTCCCGCCCACTGCCCGTTGTTTGCATTCAGCTACCACCTGTGAAATCTAGCCGCCGGCTGGCAGCAAGATGTAACTTGAGAATTTCATTAGCAGCTAAATAAATTTAGTTGCTAACAAATTTTTTTAGTGCGCACATGCCTATCAAACAACCAGCAAAAAATCATATTTTGTTTTTTTGCCAGTTGCTTGAGAGTGCTAGTTGCTTGAGTGTCCAGTATTGGGGAGTTTGCTGTAGCTATTTATATATACACACAGTATCTATCTATATCTATACCTGGATGAGCAATTTGAGCAGTTGTGAGTTATGTTACACAGCATACGTGTATACATGTTTAGTGGAGGGAGTTACACTTTGCCCTGTTGGAGTTTGCTGTGTCATATGAGATTTGTCTAATATGAACAGGTTACACCTGACAGGAATTTTGCATGGATAACAGGCCAACCATAAAGTGAAACACAGCAATAAATGAAGTTATGTGATAAGATGCTGCTTACCTTTGCACTTCCCCAAGTTAGTGTGATCATTACTGGGTCCAGTAGGGTTTTGAAGGACATGTTCCCAGTCTGCACTATCTCCTGTACCTTGTATCATTCCGCAGATATTATTATACTCAAAATCACATGTGTCCAGGAACGTTCGAAAGTTAGCTAAACAGTAAAAGCATTGTTTTAGACTATGATCAGGATACAGAGAGCTACAGATAGCTGGTAACAGATTTACTCTAACCCTTATGTGGCTTGTTTATGTTTTACATTGTATACCTACAAATACTTAATTGCTAATCACAGCAATTTTTTATCATTAGGTGTATTAAAAAGATGATTTAAATGTGGATGTCCTTCAAGGATGAGTACAGAAAGTCATGTCCAGTCTTGTAGTATAGGGTTAGCCCAAAATGTTTCATGTGTGTAGACTGAGGAATTTTTACTAAGATGTTTTTATATTGTGCTTTATTTCAGTAATGTAAATACTAAATGTGATCTGTAGGTTCATAGTTACAAACATTTTAAAATATGTTGAATCATCCTGCATTGTCTTGGTAAAACAAAGTAATAAGTACCATGTAATTGTATCTTTAACTCCGGACAAACAACTAAACACACAGTTAAAATGATATAGGTGGAAGTTTTTTATCTACCAAATGTTGTGTAACTCTCTCTAGCCAGTGCCATGATTTAGGCCCCATTCACACCAGGGTGACAGCATTTCAGCTCTTTCTTTGCACGTTTTTTGTAACGCGTTTATGCGTGTTTCATTGCATTTTACAGCCGTTTCCGTTCATATGTAAGAGCATTTTCATTTTCAGCTCATTTTCAGTTGTCCAATGAAAAGCAGTCTCAGCTGCAGAAAAGCCCTAAAAAAACCCGCCAAAAAGTGCAAAAACGCACTGATCAACGACTTTCGATTGAAGTCTATAGAGCAAAACGAGCTAATAAGCGCCACAAAGAAGCTTATGGACTATTTTATACAATGGGCGTATTGTTACGTGCGATTTAGCGCGTTTGTGTGAACGGCCCCTATAGGAATATATGGGACTTTATTTACATGCGTTTCAACGCGTAAAAAAAGGAGCGATGAAACGCCATGGTGTGAACGGGGCCTTAGGCTTCCATGAAAGAAAGCAAAACCAGGTTCAGCAGTTGCTGTATCCTCACTGAACTCTGTAATGCAGTTGAGCAATACAGTTTAGTTCAGGCCCTGGTCCACCCCATGACTTGACAATGAAGTAGCAGCAGCACACTCATGATGTCAACACTCTGCTCTCACCTCCTTTCAGTTTTAGATAGACAGTGCTGTACAAAGCAGGAGACCCTGAGTAATTCTGTGCAGGGGATTACAGGAGGCTAATCTCAAACGAGATTCAGGTACTTTCCACAGCTCAATGTAAACATACATTTAATTTGTATCTGGTTGGCTGCTATATGTTACTACTTTATTACTACCCAGTGTACTTTTCACTTGAAATTGTACATTTTCTTCAGCCAGTCTTGTGGTTTATGCATACAGTCAGACAGTCAGTGTTCAGCTTCCTGTGTTACTTATCTGCCCTTCACCTTCAGGTCTTGAACAATAAATCGTCATAATCGCCTCTATGAAATTGTTAATAAACCACTGCGTAAAGGATGAGGGTTTCACCATAATGTGAATGTTTGCACAACATTAGGTCACACTAACCCTACAAGTGTGCCCTTCTACAGCTCTATTTGATCAATTGTCGATCTTCCACTCAGTCCCCTGCTGCCCTTCTTGCTGCCTGGGAATCCTCTTTGGCCATTGGGGGGCCACTAATGATGTAACTCTTGTGCATACGCATAAGAGTTACATCCTCCCCGGCACCCGGCCTATTCACGGCGCCATAGAGATACCGTATATGAGCTGCATGTGTAAACTGCATGGCTGATACAGTATACACAAAAAAAAACAAAAAAAAATGCTGGGGGAAAGGGAAAGCTTTTTTGACAGAAGAGACTTTGCATGCCTCTTCTGACAAAAATCCTGAGCTTCTAACAATTTATTTATTTATTTTTTACTTCCACTTTAAATTATCAGAGAGGTGATCCATATGGCAGGAACCAGGAATTAGCAAAGTAATCTTCCTGACTTCATTGTGGGGTTGTTGTAAACCAAATATAAATATATATATACATGAAAACACAGGGGGTTGTTCATTCGGCACAGCGGCAATTCAGAGAATGCCTAGAATTTTTTATCAATGAAGACAAGGCGTTCTCTGATTAGACAAGGGCTGGATTGTAACTTCACCGCCCCAGAGCAGAGGGAAAGCTGCCAGCATAACATATTACTGGCACCCACAAGGTCGCGGTCAGCACTGTAGCAGCTCCAGCTACTACAGTGCTTCACAGGCACCCTATGGGCTGATCAGATGTGGCATATCTTTACTTACATTTGGCCAGGCTGGACCAATGTAAGTATACATAATAATTTATACCCGGAGTTCAGCTTTAAGTTAGATTGTTTTTTTTTACATTTTTCTGGAGTCCAGCTTTAAAAAAAACTGCATATACATATCCTTTTTTTAATGTGTTTTTTTTTCTATCATTTTCTAATCAGTTCAGGTAAACACAAATATTCTACTTAAAAATCACCTGTTAGTTGTATACAATGTATAGCAGCTCTGCAAGATTTAAGAATGAGAAAGTAAAAATATATAACTTAGATACTTACAACAGTTATACAAACGATTAAGCTTTTCAAGATCATAGTCGCTGAAATCCATTCTTTGTCCAATGACATCGCTGAATGCTGTTATCCGAGTTACAATGGTGGGTTCACTGCCAACCTGGAAGGCTGTCTTACTGTAATGCATAACCGATGTGTAGTCATATGGAACATTTAGAGCAGTGGACCGCGTATCATTATATGTATTGAAATTGTTTTGAGTTCCTGTGAAGTAAAGGCATTATAATTTGTCACAAAAACGACTCATTGTTCTCTGTCACTATAAGACCTTGTAAACCATTAAAAAATAAATAAAGTGTTAGTAAAAGCAATTTTTTTTCTTCAGTTTTGGATAGAATGGGGAAAGGTTAAACCCCTTGTTTGTTTTTTTTTGCTGCCTCTTTTCTATTTCCCAGATTTCCCTTCACTTCTTGTCCTGGAGATTCAACAGGAAGTGAGAGGATATCTTTCTAGTGTAGGAAACTCCCATCTTTTGCAGTTGTCATCAGAAAACGGAAAAAAACCGGAAAATTGTATACTTACCTATCGGTAATTTTCCTTTCCTGATGCCAGTACATGGCAGCATACAGTGTCCTGTATGCTGCCACTGCTCTTACTTGCATACAGTCTTGCTATTTTTCAAACTGTCATTAATTTGTACAGGCTGCTGGCTGTGGCTGTACACAAACACCTGTGACTCCTGGGCATAAGACCATAGAAGAAAAATTACTTTCACACCAAGGTTCCAATCTTTAGTCCCCCACGCGGTCCCCTGCTTCCATCTATGCTGCCTGGGAATCATCTTTGACCACTGGGTGGACACTAATGATGTAACTCTCGTGCATGCGCATAGGAGTTGCATCCTCCCCAGCACCCGGCCCATTCACGGCATCATAGCGATACCGTATATGAGTTGCGTGTGTATACTGTATGATTTATACAGTGTACAGTATACACACCAAAAAAAAAAAAAAAGGCGGGGGAAAGAGGGAGAACTTCTGACCGCCTAACAATTTTTATTTTTCTTACCTAACTTCCACATTAAATTATCTCTATCGTATCTTCTCTTGCCCTGGCCGACTAGAATTAGTATACTGTTGCATTCCTACAAAGCTTGCAGTTAGGTGCTACAGCCTGTCATAACCCAAAGACAAGAGCATGTTGTCAGAACACTTCCTCATCTCATGGTAGAGATTTGAATAAAAGCACTTACCACTCTGGATTCTATCCCACATAATTATGACGTAGTCATCTCGGTCAGGCCGCGATTGTTCATGCCAGAACCCCAGAGCATGGAGAAACTCATGCTGAATTGTAGCTAGTCTGTCACAGTTGTTACCAAGTGAAAGTTGCTGCTTTCCTCTATGTAAATTCCCAACATAGGACCAACATCTATATAACATACAAATTTTATGTTTATGTTACAAACAAACAGGCCATTTTTCAATATTCAGCGCTGAGGTATTTTGACTGAAATTTATTTAGACATACAACGCAGTACTGAAATTAATTTTATATAATCTTTTGGGGACAGATAGAGCTTTGTTTTGTTGGTATTTAATCACCACTGGGAGTTTTATTTTTTACTATATTAAGGAAAAATTATCTAAAAATTTTGGGAAAAAAACTGTTTCCCCTGTATTCTGTTATGAAACAACCAATTTTTTTGTAAAATAAAAGATGGGGTCATGTCAGATAAATAGACACCAAACATGTGAAGCCTTAAAATTGCGCACGCCCGTGAAACTGCAAAAAAAATGACAATACCCAAAATTGCCTATAAGTGACAATTTAAAAGCTTTTACTGCTCATCATTTTGGTGTTATCAGTGATTGGTGGCCCTAGAATTATTGCTCGCTGTAATATGTAACATGTGCGGGGCAATTGTCGTTTCCGCACGTTGGCACACCTGACGTGTATTTACGTTTATATTACGTTACATTGCGTACATGTGGGGGCGGTGGACTTCAGAAAATTATTTTATTTTTTAATGTGACTTTTTTTTTTTTACACCTAATGTAATTGCTATCACATAGGGGGCTAACAACCCCCTATGTGATAGCACAGACACACTGGCAGGTCCTCTAAGACCCCTAATGTCACCTTGGGACCCCCAAAGAAGCTGATGAAGCAGAGATCTGCTTCACCAGCTTCTTCTCTTGCTATAGCTGCCAGAGAAATGACAACTGAATGCAGAACTGATCTAATACACACCAATTCTGCATTCAGAGATCGGAGAGGAGTTCAGCAGGTGGGAGAATGCTGATCTCCCTCCGATCATCATACTCAGAGTCGCCAAGCCGGTCCTGGGCCCGCAGAGGGAACAATGGAGCCCGGGATAACCGGTAACTGTGGACGGGGGCCCTGCTGAAAGAAGAGGGTGGAACGCACACTGTTGGCCACCATCCAAGCGATCTGATGCCTCTAGAGCCGCCTGAATGCTTGCATGTAACAGCTGTTACTGGTTGTTTACAAGTGTCAGTGTGTTCTGCTTGCATGCGCAGAAAAAAAAAAGCCATCTATTTATGATGCTGTAGGGAGTTTGCCAACGTCCATTTATTTTTAATGGGCGAATGGAAAGTAGTTAAGACAAAGGGTGAGTACTGCTTATGCACAGTTAACACTTCGAGATGTTCCCTATAACATAACAAATCTCTTTTTCACATTTCAGTCCACTGGCAGATGGCAGATCAATGCAGAAAAACTTCTCTCTCCCTCCCACAACACCTATTTATCAAGAATCTTTGGCTGTTATGCATACATTTTCTTGAAAGCTTTCCTATGATGCAAAAACCAACAGACCTTAGTAAATATGTGCTTACAGAATGGGTCTGTGCATTGGTATCATTGGTATCTAGCAAAAAAAACATTTTTTTTTTGGGTGGTTGGATCATTAGCAATATTCAGACCTCCATCAATTGTGCATGAGCAGTTTTAATCTTAATGTGCAGAATTATACCTTTTGGAATGCTATCTTTATTTGTAAAGACGTGTCCGTGTTTTCAAAGGATTTACAATTATCTTGAATAATAATCAATATCAATACTTATTGAAAAAAGTACTTGATATAAGAAAACTGCATTTAATTGACTATATAACAACAGGAAATTTGTTTTCAAAGGCTCAGTATACGGTGGAGGCAAATGTACAGCTGCCAAGTAATTAGATGTATTGTAAAATATTGGTACATTGTACATTACTTGTCGGCTTTATTGTACAAGTTAAAGTACAGCTTCACATATCAAGTATTTATTGCAAGTGAATTATTACTTTCCTTAAAGGAACTCAAATTACAAACAAAACACTTATTTCTCATGTAGTATGGGACACAATTGTTATGTAGTTTAAAATTTTCATACCCACTTTCCTTGAATACTGAGATGTAATTTGGTTCCCCCTCCCAAGGTTTGAAGTCTATACAAGATTTGAGTCGGTAACGTTCAAAAGCTTCTAAGACAAGTGCTTTTGCATTAATGTCTACAATAAAATAAAATAAGAAAATCATATTTCATTGATGCCAGATATAACAATATAACATTATGTAACTATATTTAGAATTACTAGCCTACAGGATCATGCATGAATGCAGAACGTTCTGATGGAGTAATTATTATATTAAAACTTGAATCTTCCTTTAAGTTTTAGTGACTTTAGATCATATTTATTCAGGGGTTTTTCCTGTTAGAATATTTGTAATTTAGAATGAATCTTCAGTGGCAAATATGTTGCTTCAAATCTAATATTTATTTCTAAGATATTTATAAATATTACGAGTCCGAACCTCCAGCAGGCTACTCGCTGCTGATCGGCCTATTCTCATAGGGGCCGAACAGCAGTGAGTAAATAGCCGAATGCTGCTCAGCGGCATTCGGCTCGGCACCTCCGTGGTGCCGAGCTGAATAGAAAAACCATCAAAAAAAGCTAGCTCCGCCCAACTGTTTCCTATTCCTATTCCTCTGCTGAGCTCTCATTGTAATGACAGTTCAGTATCCCCTGGTAGATAACCAGGGGATGCTGAACTGTCATTACACACTTAGAACTCAACGTGATATCACGGTGGCTCCACCGAGTTCTCATTGTAATGACAGTTCAGCGGAGCTGGCAGTGATATCAAGGCCGGCTCTGCTGAGTTCTCATTTACCAGGACCAAGTAAATCGATATATAATTACACGTGCTGATCATGGCAGGAGCAAAGGAAAACAGACAGGAAACTCATAATACTTTGCTTTCCAAAAAAAAAAAGAAAATAATTCAATTCCAATCAAGCGCGGGCTTTGGAAAACTCAAATTCTTGGCTAGACTGGACTGCTGAGCTCGCCCTTCAAAGGCTCCAGCAAGGGGAAAGAGCCACCAAATTCCGGGAAAAAAAGAACTGACCGGTTCAGCCGCGCTGAATTCTTAATGTTAAAATATGTGAGTTATTTATCATAGTGACAGTGCACAGATGTCAAACAGCACAGATATTTTAATTTGCAGCTGAATGTGTCAGTCAGTTATTGTGCATTTTCTGTGCAAATGAAGAGGGGCTAAAGGGAAACAATTGAAGTTCTGTGACCGCTGCATCGGCCAAATTGGGTGTGCTGGAACAAACAGCTGGATGCTGGAGTTCCGTGAGACAAAATGGCCCAAATTGCTCTGTAGCTGTCAGTATGTCTAATGTTGAAGCAATCCATCAGTTCAGGCTAATAGCAATGCCAGATTTTCAGAGCATACTGTTACAGATGCTGTCAGTAGCAGGCTTTCGGCTAGCCAATGGCCGGCCATACGGCCCGCTTCGGCTTTCACCTCGGCTCAGTCGAGCCAAAGCTTCGGGAGCTGTACGGGCTATAGTGAAATCAGCTACGGCTGATCCTTCGGCTAGCTTTGTGAATAACCCCCTATGTATCGGCACCGATACTAGTATCGGTATTGGTGTATCCCTATCTATAACCATTTTTGTAGGCCAACAGAAAAATATGTGAAATACTTTTTTATTTATTTACTTCCAAATTAAAGATTAGAAGTTTTGCTTTTATGCTATTTGATTAAAAAAAAAGCTGCAGAAAGAAATTATGTTCTTTGTAGCAGAATTGACAAAAAAAAAACCCTTCACTTTATCTCTAGCCGCATTTGGAATGCAGACAAATTTTATTAGGTAATGTTTAAAGATGGAAAAAAAATCTAAATTGTCTTAGTTCTTTAGATATTATAAAAACAGCATAGGGGGTATTAGAAGTTACTTTAAAGTTAAATATAAGGGCTGTTAAGAATTTATGAGAAAAGCAGAGGTTATCTTTGTTTTAACCATATGTCATATGTCATATTAGTAAAACAAGATATATGTATAAAAACTAAACTTCATTTATTTGAATTTCTGTATTAGCCAACTATTTGAAACCAGTTTACACACATTTACATATACAAACATATTCCAGAATATTTATTGATTATATGACCAACACAAAAAAAACATACCCAAGCTGTCCTCTAAGTAGTATGGAACTGGTATTGGCCACCGATACTGGTCACCAATGATTGAGTTTCTTTCATTTGTCTACATAAGAATACAAATATTATTTATTTATCTCCTTTTAAAAATCCATATAAACCATGAAGATTATTATGTAACATACAGATCACAAAACAAGTCACCGCAAGGAGGAGTCCTCATGAACAATGGAAAGTATCCTAAGCCAAGCAAGTAGAAATCGTATTTTAGTTAATCTGAACTGAGAATAGTAGAATCCGTAATCCGTAGAAGCCGAAGATGGACTAGAATCAGAAGTACACACCTCGTAACCTGGTAATGGCAGTTCAGCAGAATGATGACTCAACAATCAATAATATAAGTTGCAACTTAAATATAAAACCATATTTAAGTTGTAACTTGTCATGTAGTACACACTGTAGTATGGTGGTTACGTTGTAGCTTCATTTTCTTTCCGCACATTTCTGCAAAATGTATTATGTGTAAACATTGCTAATTCACAAATTAGCTTTTTATGGCACGTTCATATAACCTAGATGGACAGTTACAAAAGACTATAAACAGATTAGCATTCCTTAGTTTAAAGCCTACAGCATTTGGTTTTATCAGATAAAGATTATATCTGGGTCTGTTATCAGCTAAAGATTATATCTGGGTCTGTTAGCAAGTTATTCATTGAGAAGCAAACCTGTTAACCTTTATTTGTAAAAGTCAAATAAACTGCAAAAACATATGGAAGAATCTATTCATAAACATTTAATACCATACATACATAACAGTGCAATGACCATGTCCAAAGTGCAGTAACCTATAACAACCAATTAAGGTTCAGTCTAGGGAATTTTCATATTTGCTCTTAGGATGGATTTACTTATTGAAGTGGAGCTATGGGAAAAGTCAAAACGGCAAACATGATCCAATCTGTCACCAGCATTAACACAGCAGTCTTAGTTTTTCTGAGTTCCCCTTGTAACATAATCACATGTTGATCCTGCCAGTAAGTCTGTTATTTCCCAACTTCCTTTAACAGATCAAGCTGTTAAGTAAAAGTTGCAGTCAGGGGGTTGAGGCAAACCATTTAACAGGAATGCTAACAGTGGTCAGCTTTTATTATTATAGGCAAAACCTTTATCCCAAAAGGGTAAACAAAAAAATGCTGCTGTAACTGCTTAATATTTGTTAGCTGGAGTTTGGCTTTAGTTTGTTAGTCATTTGTGTAACGTCTCTCTAAATCTACTAGTCTATCAACCAGTACCCTCTTCACAGGTGGAAAATGTTGCTGTGGCTGGGGCTATGCTTTTTCTCCATAGATACAGTGAGCGTAGCCATCCTAAGATTGAAAGTGTGTTACAGATGATATTAAAGAAAAAAAACATAAACAAAGAAAACGAATGCAGCCGCCAAATCTAGGGACTGGTAAGCTGCAACATTTCTTATTCTTGGTTTTAGTTACACTCAAATTGCAAAGTTGAAAAAAAATATCAGGCTTTGTCTGCAAGTGGCACTGCAGGCAAATTGTGTAATGTGACTTTTATAAAAATGTGTGAATTTTAAGAGATGGGAACTTTGAGACCGACCGAAAGCCCTAGTGAAATATACATGTGTAGATTGCTTGATATATTTGCATATCAGTAAATAATATTCTCAGCCATACTACAGTTGTGCACAGTTTATATTAGTTTGAGCAACCGTTGGTTGTAATTTTATAGATTGGATGTTGTATGTCACAAAGACTAAGGCAACTGATGTGCTTTTTATGAATGTGTACTTACAGCAAGCTGGATGTCTCCTTCAAAAAGATTCAGTCCCTGTTCTTAATAAGAAAATGAACACATTAGTACGCTAATGAACAAGTGATATTACAGCCCACATATTCCCACACAAATACATATGCAGTTATAACAAACCTTGATTGATGTCAAAAATGTCATTGTCTTTTCCAGCATCCAGATCAACTGCAAGATACAATACAATCATGTCATCACTAAATCACTAAATTACATACAATACATATTATTTCACAACAGTGTATGGAAGTGTAATTGTAGTGTACTGTTAGCATAGTATATCTATCTATCTATCTATCTATCTATCTATCTATCTATCTATCTATCTATCTATCTATCTATCTATCTATCTATCTATCTATCTATCTATCTATCTATCTGCCCCTTTAGTAAAATTACTTCTTGTAGTAATTTGGCATTGACTTGGTGACATTTTTGACCACTCCTTCATGCATAATTCCTTCAGTTGCAAGATCTATGATCTATGGTTTTCTTGAACTGTCCATTTAAAATCACCCCACAGAATTTCAATGGGGTTCAAATTAGGGTTTATACTAGACCAGTGAATGACTCTCCATTTCTTCTTTGGCCCATTGCTTGTTAGATTTCCCTGGCATGCTCTGGATCATTATTGTGTTGAAGGACCCATTTGTGGTTCAACTTCAACTTTCAGACTGATGGCCTCACATTGGTATCCAGCACACTTTGTTATGAGGCATAATTCCTAGCCATCTTGATGCCTGCAAGCTTGCCAGGCCCTGAAACAGCAAAACAACTCTAAACCATAACCTTTTAGTTACTGTGCTTCACAGTTAATATGAGGTTCTTCTCATGAAATTCTGCGTTTAGTTTGTGCCAAACATGTCTACTGTAATTGTGCCTAACAACTCTATCTTTGATTTATCAATTCACAACACATTGTTTCATAAGGTATGGTCTTTGCCTATATGTTCAGTTGCAAACCGAAGATTTGCTCTTGGACAGCAAAGGCTTTTCCTGGCCCACCTCCCATGAAGGTTTAATCCTTTCTGATTCTAAATGCAGGCATTTGTCAAACAAACTGTTGCCAGATTTACCTACAAATCCCACAATTACATTTTTGGGCTCTTGGAGACTTCTTTTAGCACCTACTGGTCAGCTCTTGGGCTGCATTTTCTGGACCTGATAGGAAACTTCAAGCCACTTGTAGATTATTTCTATTAAAGTTAAATGATTAATTTTTATTTAATGTGGCAATATCTTTAAATCCCTTGCCACATCCACAGCCTTCTTTTTCAGGGCCTTAGAGAGCTCTTTTTATCTTGGCATGATGACATCACACATGACAATAGCAAAGAGAATTCTGGACCCTAGAAATCCTAGATGTAAATAAAACAGGTGTCACCTGCATACTCCCTAAGGAGATTCTAATAATTGGCACCCAATCTGAAACTCCGTATTTAAATTTCATGGATTTGTACTGGTGGTAAATGTAGGGATGGCGCTTACCTTTTCTTTTCTATATCACACATCTGCATTTTCATTCACTTAGATTATGAGAATCAATACAAAATGTCAATTTTATTTGTCACTTGTTCAGGTATATTATCTTTGTATGTTTGAATGAAGATCAAATTCCTGTCTGTTCAAATATGTTGAAAACCTCAACAATTTCCATGGGGTGTACTTCTCTTTATGTATGTATGTATGTATGTATGTATGTATGTATGTATGTATCTATCTATCTATCTATCTATCTATCTATCTATCATCCCTCTATCTACCTATGAATTAACCTACAGGGCTGAAACTTACCCAAGATCTCTTCAAATGCCTGAGAAAACAAAACAGAACACAAAAATATTAAAATATTGGCATTGTGCAGAGTTTACATTGGCATAATATTATGACTATTTTTACGAATACTGCCAGCATAAGCAAAACCTGTATTGAGTTAAAATTAATATAATATAATTCTAGTTGCCTGTGCCTTTGAACGTCTATTTTGCGCACTTGGATTGTGTTAGTCGCCTGGGACTTCCACTTTGTTGCATATACCTATGCAAGCCTAGAAAAAATGTTTTACTTCTTTTCTCTTTTGTATTCTTATTTATCTTATCTATTATATATATATATATGCCTATTGAGACTATGAAAATAAAGAATTTACTGCCTGGCTGTTTCTGAACACAGTACTTTCCCAGTCATCGACCCAGAAGAAGAATGACAAGTAGGCAGGTACAGTTTTCATTCCTATGTGTCTTCAGTAAGAGCCTCTTTACCAGGTTGGGCAGGACAACTAAGATTTCTTTCTGCTATACTACAGAGTTTTAGAGGGTCAGTGGCTTCACTACAAGCGTGATGACCTGCAATACCAAACCTTGAAAGGAGGATGGAATTAATAGTGTTTACAATCAGAATGAAGTCAATGGTAAAATGTAATAATGTGAAGATATTTTATTGGTCAGCCAGTCATATGATTAGTATCACCGTACAATGCTGTCAGCTCTGTTTTCTGCACTCAGATATTTCCCTGCTCATTCTATGCCCATCTTCTCAAATAATGTTTCACCATCAGGCAAATTAGAGCAAATGTCTTTTTGTGTTATCATCTTAAATAAACTGACTTCTGTCAGATCAAACAGTTTTCTATAGCTTATTAAATATGTGTAGCCAATTCCAAAGACTCAAATTGTTCATAAAACTGTCTGAATTGTGCTGCAATTTGTGCACATGTCTGAGCTGCTTAAAGCTGAACTCCAGGCAAATGGCAAAATGCACAGATGAAACACATACATGGGAGCTGTTTACCTGCCAAAAATATTTCTGTCCATCCATTGCTGACATTTACACAGATCTGCCACACAGCACAGCCCTGCCTGTCTGGGGAAGGGACCTGAGCTTTTTTCGGCTACATTTCACTTTCACTTATAGATCTCCTTCTCACCCTAAACCTTTGAATGGACTGTCAAAAGAGACGCAGCACACAGATGAGCTAATCTCCCTGTCACTCTGCTTTCTCCTCTGTCAACATACTCTTTGCACTGCAACAAACCTGGTTGAGCCCTTGTGCTGCTTGTGTTCCCCTTTCTTAGAGACTGAAAGGCTAATACCAATCCCAATTCAGGCACTTACACTGCTTTCATTTAAAAAACAAATACATTTAATGAAATAATAATGGTTACAGAGCTGCATTCATTAGTGTCTTTCATCTGCCTGGAGTTCAGCTTTAAGTTATTAACACTCATCACATCCCAAGCATTAATACTTCTTACTAGTTTAAAAATGTATAAGCTATTTCAAAACTAAAAACAAATGACCTAAAACTGTAATCATTAATAAATAAGGGGTAAGAGACAACATACACCGAGAATGTTTTGAACCTGTATGGGCAAACACTTTTAAAAAATGTGTTTTGTATCCCTAAAGCATCACCATTTGGCAGGTAATATTTAGTTATTTCTTTCAGGTATTTACATAGCGCTGACAATTTACATCAGCCCCTGCCCTCAAAGAGCTTACAATCTAAGGTCATCTCACATGCATACATACAGGGCCAATTTACCTTCCAGCATGTCTTTGGAGTGTGGGAGGAAACTGGAGGAAACCACACACAGGGAGAATATGCACACAGGATAGTGTCCTGACCAGGATACAAACCAGGGACCCCAGTGCTGCAAGGCAGAAGTGCTAACCACTATGCCATTGTGCTGCCTCTATTGCATTGGAATAATTAAATCTTTGGTCTTCATTAGGGTACAGACCATTATTCAGTCCCAGTTCTAAGGGGAGGATTGGCTTAAACTGAATATGTGCTTTGTTCATGCAGATCAATGCATGTGAACATACTTGCATCAGGGAAGAACAGAGGGTTATACTCAGCCCACTGCTATTACTTCTTTATCCAGTCACAGGCTGGAGTAGATTGTGGGCCAGTCTGCATTACCTAAATACAGCATAACCTGTAGTCAGTTCACAGACCTTGCTGTGATTTCTGGCAGAGGTGCCTGATTCACAACAGTAGCGGACATGAACTACA